GGGGCTCTCAGCCCAAGCGCGCCCCTCTCCCCCCGCCACGGGACTGCCCCCCCCGCCCGCCCTGGGTACCAGCCCGGTGCTGAAAGCCCACCTGTAGATGTCACACTCCGAAAGGCAGATCTCCTGGTCCACGGCATCCCAGAGATGAGGCTTCAGGGCAGGGAAATCCTCCCGCACGGCGGAGAAGAGGCTGCAGTTCACGGCATTCACCACCTGCGGGGGGGGGGTGGGGGGGGGGGGGGGGGGGGAGAAGAGCCTCTGCTGGGACTCTGCAGCTTGCAGGGGGAGGCGTCATGGGCTGCCACAGAGCAGCACGGGAGGATGAGTCCTCACTTGAGGAAGGGGAGGGCAACCCGTCCCCAAGCCCTGCCTTGGCAGACCCTTCCTGTGAGGCTGGGGTCTCACGGTCTCCCTGAAGGGGCCCTGCGCCATGACCCATACTCCCTCCTGAGCCAGGAGGACCCTCAGGCCCCGGGATGGACCTCCCCAGGTCCAGACCCACCAGAGTCTCCCAAAGCACCCCAGGACCCGAGGCGGCCAAGGGCGAGGGCGGAGGCAGGGACCAGGTGCGGGAGTGCCCCCACCTGGCAGCCCACGGCCTCCCCCCCGCTGAGGACGTGCCAGAGGAGACTGAGAAGTCCTCCCTCGTGGGATCAGGGCCCCTGTGAGCAGAGGCGCAGAGCCGGCTTGCAGGGAGGAACCCGACGTGGGAACCAGCGAGACTTGGAGGGGAACCAGCTACAAAAGGCTGCTGCCACTGCGGAGTCAACTCGTCTGCCACCTCACTGATTACCCCTAGGGTTGCCAAGTCCATCTTACGCCCCCAGCGGGGGACTTTGGGGGCCTCCCTGGAGAGGGCGGGGCATCCCCGACGTGATGACGTCACATTGGGGACATCCGCCACCCTGCACGCGTGGTCGATCTCCAGAAAGGCCAGTTCCCTGCGCTTAAAGGAGCCGGCGTTTCCCCTTTAAGAGCAAAGAGCTGGCGTTTCCCTTTTAAGTGCACGGAACTGACATTTCCCTGCAAGCCTGATCTCAAGCCGATCAGACATCCATGCACTTAAAGGCAGCCACCCCTCTCTCTAAAGGGAGAAGGGAGAGGAGTGGCTGTGCGTACTGAGGCCTCGGAGGGTCTTCTGCCTGCATGCCTTTGACTGTGCCGTTGGACCCTGGGCCGTGACTTTTGACCTCTGACCCAAGAACACCCGCCGTCAGCCCCTGGCGGCCAGGACAGACACACTCAGACTGGACCCCGCGAACCCCCCCCACACACACCACTAGACCCAGCTGACTTGCCCTCACCCAGTTGAGACTCGGCTCCCGGCTGAACTCGTGGCTCTTGGCAGCGCTGAAGTCGTAGTCCGGACGGAAGGACTCGTTGAGCGTGGCGATCAGGTAGAAGAGAGTCTTGCGGCTGCATTTGTCGCTGAGCGGCCCCTCCTCCTCGCCATTCTGGCTCTTGCTGAGCCTAAAAGATGTGACCCGGCATGGTGAGGGCCCGTTCCCTCCCGCACAGCCCCCCGGGGCCCGGGGCGGAGACCAGCCAGGTATCTTGGAGGACGTCCTGCACTGGGCTACCGCCACTCCCCCCCCCACGCCCACACAACCAGGGTCTTCCCAGCACTCTGGCCGCCCCCTGCCCCACAGCACTCCCCCCCCCAATTGGCCAAGCCAACAGAGCTGCTCATAAGGAGACCAAGGTGTGTGGGGGGGACACCCAGTTTTGCCAGCGGAGAGCATTCACGGTGGCCGAAGCGGGGGGACTCATACCTGCTGGGGCTGATCCCCGTGGTCTGAGGGGGCGACAGGGCCTCGAGGACGTGGGGCTGGCCCTCCTGGCAGAACTGCTTGAACAGGTGTTTGTCATCCCCAGCCATTTTGCACGAGTAGCTCTCGATCCTGCGGGGGAGACACGAAGGCAAGGGGGTGGGCAACGCTGCTGTCCTAAGGGTGTCCCACGGCTCTCTAGGTCACAGATGGATCCCACAAGGATTTGGGAGGACAGGCGGCCATGGGAACTCCCACCCACCTGCCTGACTGCTGAGCCCAGAAGGACCCAACCGGGAGAGGTACAATCCAGCAGCCACGCCCGTCAGGCTGGCCCCTCTTGTGAAGGGCTTTTAGCCACACCCAGACCTTTTAGCCACACCCAGGAACCCCTAGCTGAGGGGAAGGCGTGGGAAGAGCCCTGACTCGTCACAGCTCCCAGTGAAGGGCTATATCACTTGAAGGGCTCCCAGCGAAGGGCAGGGCAGCATTTCCATGGTAGTGGAGGACAGGACTTACAGCAATAGGTTTATATTATGGGCACAGTGATATCAGGGGGGATATTCGGAAGGCCCTTTTAACCCTAAGGGCAGTTCTGTAGTGGCACTGGTTGCCCCGGGGATGTGGTGGGTTTCCCCTCCTCAAGTTTCGTG